GTCAAGTCCTGTGGGCGTGGGAAGATGGAGGGAGGGACTGGAGGGGGTGGGGAGAGGAAGGAGAGAAGGTCCTGGAGGGAAATCTCTGCTGGAGCGCAGCTTGAGGCTCCCTGGACGGCAGCCGCTCTGGGAGGTGGGACAGGGCGTGCCCGGGACACGGCAAAGGGATGGAATGAGAGGACCACAGGGTACAGCACGCGCAGAAAGAAACTAAAAATAAAGCCCAAAGCTTGATTTGCAGCCAGATAGTTAATGGGAGTCCTTGAATGTCATGCCAAAGGATTTAAAGTCTGCAGAAACAAGGTGGGAGCCTGTCCTTGAAAGATGAACATGCACCAGGTGGGACTGGGAGTTGAAAGGTTTTTCCAGTAAGAACTAAAGTCTGTGGCGTGGGCCAGAGGAAGGGGTGGGGGTGGTCAGAGGAGAGTGTTCTGGGCTAGCAGAGCAGGTAGGACACTGGAGGAAGAGGGTCTGGGGGCACAGACACACACAGAGGGGCATACTGAACCCCCACGAGAAAGCCCGGCCCCCGCTGGCCCTGTGGGCTGTACGTGGCAGAGAGGACTGGCGAAGGCCTGAGGATGAGCAGAAGCTGGAAGAACTTCGGCTGCTGTCCACAGACAAAGTTTGCAGCTGACAGTGAACAGGTTAACTGTCAGAACCAGAGCTGACGTTCCTTCAGGAGAATGTAACAGAATTCAGAGACTCTAAAATACACTGTTGCTAGCGTCCATGGTATGCTGGCTTGTTCTGGGCCCCCTGAGATCAGATGGGCCCCCCACCCGGTGACGAGGGAATAGCAGGGAAACGTGTCAACTTCCAGGGTGGCGCATTCATTGTCACAGACACCCTTCTGAGGTCTAATTTCCTCTGCTCTGGTGACCAGTGACATTTGTCCGGCTAGGTCCCTGACCCATGGCAATGAGTACAGCCCCCGCCCGCCTACCGCAGGTGTGGAACACAGGAGAGACATGCTTTTGTTTGAACACACTCACTGCTTTAACGTTCTGATTTTGGAGGTTGTGGTATTGCAACATAACCTAGCCTATCCTGATCAATCCAGTTCCCCTTAGTACAGCGGGAGAGATCTCCTGTGGCCTTAGTTTGCTTTAAACACACAGTGTGTAGTAAGACTGAGACGTGGCGGCCATCGGAGTCCAGATTGCAGCAGAGAGGGGGAGGGGCCGAGGATGACCACCTCCAGGAAGAGAAAGAAAACTCTGGGTCCTCTGACGTTAGGAAAATGTTCATTTGCTAGATCCTGAAATATTTGAAAAAACAGTACAAATTAAGCAAACAAAATGAGAGGCAATTATCAATGCTAAGAAAAGTAAGCTGTCCAAGGAAAGGAATGGAATCCGGTGGGAGTGTGATTTACAGAGAGCAGTGTGTGAAGGCAGTGGGGTTAACAGCTGGTCATTGATTTCCCTGGGATGCGGCTGTTAAAGGGGGCAGGGGGCGAAGGTGCATCTGGGGGGAGAGACACTTCCTGTCACTGCTCGGTGACTGGCAGCCACCACAAAAACCGTGTGGCTGGAACAATCAGACGGTGGGGACAGTCTCTCAAAGAAGTTCCTGAATTAAGCCTATTTTCCCTTGTAATTAGTGATTATTTCTCCCATTTATTTGTAGTTATAAAGACTGTTTATGTGGGGCTTTTATTGTCACCATAGTTTTTTTACAAGCTACCATGGCTTTTCAAAAAGGTTATTGCCTTCCTGAGAGGGTCACTGTTCCTTCTCTGGGGCAGTGCACACTGGGGGTTCATCAGGCATGTGGCATCTCGGCCGCCACATACCCCCAGGGCGGCACCTGCCCTTCCCAAGGTCCGTAGACGGTCCGTCTGCATAGGGAGGTCTGAGGAGCGGTGCTGTAGAGCAGCGACTTTAAACCTGGGCACGAGGATTTTTAGAGCCTGCAGTACCTGGCTACTGAGTCGGGGGCATAGACCCCTGTTTTCCCTTCGACAGTCAGATGAAAATGTGACACCAGCCAGCACAATAATGGCCATCAGTGTGAATGAATCGCAGTTCCACCTGAGTCTTTGTCATGTCGGCCAGAGACATATTTGTTGGCATGCTGCAGAATTTTTGTAATCAGTGCGCTGGGCTGAGAGGCGGGCCAGGTTGAAGGCTGCTGCCCTGGACAGCAGGTGTGCACGCCGGGGTGGGGGCGCTGGACGGTGGGTCCAGAGCAGAAGGCCAGGCAGCGGGGACAGGCCCGGCCTCTGTGTCTCCCAGCCTGAGGCCCCCGTCCCGACGGAGGCAAACGGGGCGCCAGGTACTCGGCTGCCACTCTGGCTGCCACTCCGCTGCTGTGTCTAAGATGCCCTGCTCTGCGCAAAGGGTCGTCACAGAGATGTCTACATCTCAAGCATGTTTATCAACGGAAGTCAATTCTCCTTACACACCCGGAACATTTTCTACATTGAATTCTGTGTTTCTAAAGTTAAAATGACATTTCCTTGCTCCCTCATCAGCAGCCTCGGGATTAGTTCAAATCCACCCCCAGCTCCAGAAACAGGTGGGCAGCTGACCCCGGTTCTTTGCCTCGCAGGGAAGTCGGATATTTTGCTTTGCCTTTAGACACACCAGTGAGAACCTGAGAAAAGCTGTCGAAGAACTTGGTAGCTGGAGACGAAAAGGGTAATTTTTGCCCCTGGAGAGGGTCAACATGGTACTAACAGCACCTTTGAAAATGAGATGCACGCACAGCTGTTCCACACCATGCCCACAGTGCACAGCGGCCTCCTTCCACACCCATCAGCCGCACCCCAGACACCCACCCGAGAGGCTCGGCCTGTGCCTGGAGCGTTTTCATGTGGGGCCGGCCCCAGGCCGGACCGTCATAGCTAATCAGGGCTCCTTCCTGAGAGACGTTTGGCTGTCAGTGACGTGAACAGACCGAGAAGGAACGAGCCGCCACGTTGGGCTCTCATTGCTTCTGGAAGCTTAGATCACCGAATCCCTACACAGTTCATGTTCCCCAACAGACCCTGTTTACTGGGTCCTCGACAGTGTTTTCACTCACCAGCAAGTGGCCTCCACTACCTGTCCACCGTAAATCTTGCCCTCAGCACACATCGCTTCTCCCTGATCTCACTTAAGTACCTTCGAAATGCAACTCGAACAGAAGTGAACAGCAATTTGTCGTGGTCTGTGCCACCCTGATTAGGGATGTTCTTACTGTGAACAGTGTAATGAAGACATTCCTTAGACACTCTTTGCCCTCACTGTTTCCCATGGGGACCCGGGCCTGGGGGGGTCCGGAAAAGACGGGGACCCCACTGTGAGAAGGTTAAGAAGCAGAACACACTCTGCTGCTGCTCTGTCAGGTGCAGGAGGAAAAAGAGAAGGGGGAGAATGTTCTGGGCCATCTCTCTTTCATTGATAAAAGTGTGCATCACCCTTTAGAAAATGCAGCCACCAGAGTTTACACCATTGAGAGCTGTGGCCTGTCAGGACCAATTCCTTTCCGAGGCAGTTTCCATGTGGCCCGGTCTCCACGTCACACTTCCTGAAGTTCAGCCCTCCTCTCCCTCCACTAACCCGCACAGGGAAGGAGACCTGGTGTTAATAAAGTCCCTCTGAAGGTCCCTTCTCTGTCCCTGCTGATTGTCATGGCAGGTCACCCTGGGCTTTCCTGTGGCTTCACATCTGGTAGGGGTTGGGGGTGGGTGGAGATCTCTCGCAGGGTCTCAAAGACACCAGAGCATGTTTCAAAGTCAATTCTGTTTAAACTGTGAGGGCAGAAGCACCCCAAATCTAGAATTCTAATGATATTAATTCAAATCAAAAGGTGGCCACAGATAAAATTAAATGACCCAGACTAGGAAATGACCCCATGTGGAATTATTTTCATCTTGCTTTGGTCAAACCCCTTGGATGGAGCACCCCTGAGACAGACAGGATGGGGTTCCCCCAGGTCCTCAGAGACTAGGCAGGCGTCTCATCAACCATCCTGGGAGGGGGCTTCTCCTGGGGGAGGGACTCAGGCAAATTTTCGGTGGGCGACACAGGGACCCGCCCGTCCTGCTGCAGCCAGGTGGGAAGGGCCCGCATCGAGAGGGTGAGATGCCCGGGCACTCTGGCTGAGACGGGGGAGCCCCTGCCCGCAGGCCCTGAGGGGCACCCACACTCTGCCATCAGCTGCTGCACTGCAGGTGGGCCGCTGGGTGCTGCAGAACCTGGGGGCTCCCTGGTAGGTGGGCAGGGGGCTCGGCCTGGCCCTCCAGACTTGGGGATAGAGGCCAGCTGTCCCCTGCTGGAGCCCTGTCCCAGCAAGGGGGCCCCGTGACAAGGGTCAGCAGCGGCTGTGGCAGCCAGCTGAGGGGACGGGGAGGGAAGCAGCCCCTACAGGCCTTCGCTCTGGACAGAGGAAACTCAGCAACAGGTTTGAAAGGGGGCTGCTTGCAGGCAACTGGTCCGGCGCTGGGAGAATTGGCACAGAAGAGAAGCACAACCTCATCACAGACAAGCAGACAAAGCCGGTGACAGGCTACTGTAGAGCACCCCCCCCCCCCCCCCCCCCCCCTCCGGCACCCTGCCCTAGATGAAAATTTTCACGATTCGGTAACATGAGCCTTTTCTCCACGCTGGATTTGTTCTTTCTAGAAATTATGAATCCTACCACCTGGAAGATACCAGACAGAACTGTGCTTCTGCTGCAATTTAAAGGCTGCGGAACCGGGAAGTTGGGGGCCGTGGACACATACACAGGCTCACCCAGACCTACGTCTGCAGGTGCCGGCTTGCGCCTTGCGGGGCGCTTTAAATCAGTGTGAACCCCATATGGTCAGGGCTGTTCATGAGGCGAGGCCACCATGCAGCGGGGGTGAGGGGACGCATTAGGAGATGGAGGTGTGTGGCCCCACCCCTCAGTTCATGAAGACCCCTGCAAACAGGGAGCTAGCTTCGGTCTGCTGTTTCATGGAGTCATTAGCCAGTGGTCACGAAGTGGGCCCAGCAGGCGGAGGGGCACCTCTCTGCCTGCGCACTCACTTTTTATCGGGATGATGAGCTGCGGGATGACAGGAAGGATCTTGCTCCCCCCGTGTTCCAGCATGTCGTGGACGCCTTGCCGGGCGAAGAACTCATAGGGAAATGTCATCTCGCAGAGCCCGTCAAAGAACAGAGGCAGGTAGTGGTGGTAATCCAGCTTCTCGATCTCCACCTGTGAGGACAGAGAGAGAGACAGTGCCCGTGAGCACCGGCTGGCCCCACCCCGAGTCACGGCACAGGACAGGAACAGTCACCAGCTCCTTAGTCCACAGGTCGTAGGCCTGGGTGGGGTTGGGTGTGTCGCGGTTCAGCACTGCCACTACAACTGTCCGGCGAGTCCCTCACTCCTTGTCCCACTCCTTGTTCTCAGCACCGACGCGGTTTGTCCCCGCCTGGGCCAAGGTGACGTTGCCACAACTGTTTGTCCCTCGCACCATTTCACCCTGTTCCCCATGTCGTGTTTAAGGAGTGTGTCTTCTAACGAGCTTATAGCGACAGTTGCTCACCCCTCCCATTCTACAAGTGTGTTCTCAAAAAACAAATGCTGAGCGCATAGGCAGTTCTGATTCTCAACAGTTTTCAAAAAGAAATAAAAGCAATATGAGAACGAATAAAGGAAGAGAAGGAAAAACAATTGGGAGAGAGTTAAATTGCACAAGAGACCGAGGAACAGAGACCGAGAAAGGAGATTGTCTTGGTGCCTCGCCCCTCCTAGCTCAGTGACCACACCGCCCTGTTCCCATGTTTGTCTTCCTGCCCCCGTCACTCCCCTTCTCCACACACGTGGGTCCCAGCTGAGGTCCCCCCAGGGCCACTGTGGCTGTCCCCGGCTCCCTGGGCCCTGCAGGTCCTCCCCCAAGTGCTGCTCTCTGGAGAAACGGTGCCTTCTGTTCCCCATGCAACCTGGCTTCACTTAGCCCTCTGCACAGACTGCCTTCCGATGCCCTGCTCCTTTCCCTCCGACTCTGAGTCGCTGGCGCTGCTTTGAACTAGATGTCAGCTCAGGGAGGCCCTCCTCCACTCCCCGCCGCCCTGTCGACTGTCTTTGTAGCCCTCATCATTTATTCATCACAGTTCCACAGTCCCGTTGTTCAAGGAGCTTGTCATTGCCTAGAGAGGTGTCTGGCCCATCACAGGTGTGTGCTCGGTGAGCGTGGGCTGAATGTTAAATCTGACCTTTAGGACCTGTCCCGTGGGAACCCTCTGACAGGCCTCTTCAGCCGAGAAGGAGCCGCAGCCGGGCGCCCCGCCCTGTCCCTGGGCCTGCGGCTGGGGGCCTGGGCGTGCAGGGGTGTGCGAGTTTCTGCACGTGTATGTAGTCTGCAAACACGGTGCCAGGCTCCTCCGCCGGGAGCACAGGGGCTACGTACACACCGGGAGTTTCACGGGTATTTACTAGGTTACTGGGATGGGCTGCTTGGTGCTTGTTTCCCCTCATTTCACCGGAAATCCCTGGGGTCTCACTTTTGTGTTCTGTTTACTTTCACAACTTAGGAGGGAGAGTCTCTGTTTTCATGGTGTCATAGAAAGCAAACTTATGAATGTCTGCCCATCAGTAATGCATCAGGTGCTGAGAGTATAAACCGGTTTTTAGAGTCTATATTGGGAGTAATTGGAGATTAAAAGCAAAATCTGAAGACGAGATTGACAAGGACTGTCACAAGGACACCGACAGTTGGCGTTTGTGTATTTGTCACGCGCTGACCCTTGTCCCTGGGAGCCGAGATCGCGCTCTCTGTCTGCTTAAATTTACAAAAGGTCATTCTAATTGTTTACTGAGTAAGCCTCCCTTTCTAAAAATTTTTTAAAAATTATTTTGCTGTTAACTATTTTTTTCAACAAATGTTATACTTTACATTGTCTTTAGTATTACCATGAAAATTGTACTTCTCAAACTTCATAAAATTGGCAAATCTTTGTTTAAAGTTCATACAAAAAAATTCCAGAATTAAAAGAAAGCTACGTGTAGCAGGGGTGCCGGCCCACAGCCTCTGGCCGCACGCGGCCCAGGATGGCTACGAAGGTGGCCCGACACAAAATCGTACATTTACTTAAAATGTGTTCTTTTTTTGGCTCATCAGTTTTTATTAGTGTTTGTGTATTTAATGTGTGGCCCCAGACAGCTCGTCTTCTCCCAGCAGGACCCAGAGATGCCAGAAGGCTGGACGCCCTGGCTGCAGGGGGACCACGAACAAGGGCTGTTTGAGACACATCAGCTGAAATTCAGGGGTGACAAACTGATCAATGACTACCAGGATATTCACTATGTTAAAAGCATCAAGTGCTTTTATTCATAGAATTTCGTTCTTTAAAAAATAGGTTTTATAAGTTTTTAAAGATCACATAGTACCTGCAAGCCGACCTCTAAATCTTACAGTGACCTTTGGTCAAAAGCAATAAAACTCTGACTTGACCTAGGCCATCAAATACAACATTTCATCCCCATAACAAACGTTTAAGGTTATAATGTCATTTAGAAAGGTCAGAAATGCAATGACATGAATGCTTTTCATAAAGAACTCAGATCAGAAGCCTACTCTTACACTTTCCATATCCTTGCTTCAATTAGCAAATAAAGCCCCCTTGAGAACACCTGTTATCATGGGTCTAGAAGGGTTCTGAGGACCCTTCTTAGAGTTGCAGTCGGAAAAAGCGTACTTGTCTGTACGCACACGATGGTCCCACTTGGACTTACTGCAACATCCACAGAATGGAACTTGAGCTCCCCGCCTTTCAGCCGTGGTGGCAGCGATGTGTCTGCTGCAGGAGCCTCACAGTTTGCGCGGGCCTCAGGCCCCGCCTGCAGAGGGCTCATGGCAGATCCCACTGCAGTGGGTTTTCTAATGTGTGCAGACATGATTGTGGTGAACGACTGGAGATAATGTGTCATTTTACATTTTTGCGATGATACTGAACATACAACTAAGGTCATGTAATAGGATGTCAGATTTCTTAGTCCAAAAACATGACTTTTTAACACAAAAAGCCCTCTTCAGCGTCAAAAAGAAAGAGACTTCAGGCAGGATAGTAGGCAAAGTCTAAAAAACCCCCAAACGTGTGAAGAAAAGTCAAGGTCGGGACACCTGTAGCTGCTGGAGATAAAGGCAGAACCCAGAGACGCGGAGTGAGCTCTCGGTGAAGGCGTGACCCCTGGGAGGACTGGCTGCAGGCCGGGCTGAGGCCGAGACGAGGTTTGCAGTCTCAGAAGTTCAGAAAAATAAGGAATTTGGCAAGAGAAGGGGGTTAAGCTAATCTCCTGCACACAGCTGGGCCACCTGAAGGGCTGTCCCATCACCGGAAAGGGGACCAGGAAGTCTCTTCCCACGAGCTTGTAGGAAGAGAGAGAGAGGCTGATGTCGGACAAAGCCCTCAATGGGAAAACTCTCCCGAGATGTGGAAACCCACCGCAAATCTAACGTCAGGGAAGTAAGAGAAAAACTGTTCGCAGACTGGAAAAGTAACTTTCGTTGTTTTTTAATGCATCATTAACGCTTGCACGATCCAGTGATCACCTCCCCTACCAGTGACCAATCACCATGGTAACAGAGTTGCCTCGAGAGAGACTCAGCCCACCCACCAGGGCACCTGGAGATGAGTTCTGAAACTAGCAACCAGAGATAGCAGAGTAAAATCTGAAAAGAAATATTTTTGAAATGTTTGGAAACACAGAAGACTATTTTACTTTAAAAAGAACCAAACAGAACTCCCAGAAAATAATCTCACCACCAACTAAACACCCAGCAGCTGAGCTGATGAAGAGATTGGCCGCAGATGAAAGAAGAGTCAGGGCTCGGGGAGGGAACTGAGAGGTGGGAGGGGGGCAGACGGCAGGGGAGTCCCCGCCTGGGAGGCTCCCTCACGTGGCTCATGGGGTCCCAGAGAGGACAGAGTGGACCAGGGCAGTGTTGGAGGAAGGGCTGGTTGAGAATCTTTCATAATTAAAGACACATGTGAGTCTTCAGACTGAAGATGCTGAGCTTCTTGGGAAAACCATAAAACTCCAAAGTTGATGAAAAGACTTAAAGGAAACTAAAAACAAGAGACAGATGACATATAAGGGATCAAACTGAGACTGAACTTATAGTCCTCATGAACAAAACAGAGGTCAGAGGGCAGGTGAGAAGTCCCTCACCAGGCTGAAAGAATGGTATCAGTTAACCTCCAAGGCAACAACACTCAACTGAACGGCCATTCAAAAATAAGGCAAGTTAAGGCTACAGCGTGTCACCCAGACTGAGACGTTTGGTTTGGTTTGGTTTGGATCCCCCCCCACCCATGGATCACTGTCCCTACCGAAGGATAAACTTTATTAAAAAGTAAGCTGAACCTGGGACAAAGAAATGACACACAGGAAGTAGCAGGAACTCGTTGGACAAATTGGTGAGACTAAGTGAGCGCTGACTAACAATTTAAAAATACAATAGTCGTCACTTAAAGTGTGTTTACGGCCTGGAGGTCTACTTCCAGAAAAGGGAGGGAGGCGGGACAGGAGGAGGGCGATGGGAGTCGGAGTGAGGCTCTTCCGCTGATGGGCACGAAGCGAGGTCCCGGTTAACTTTGGACTTAATTAACTAATTAAGCATAGTAAAGTGCAAGGATCCTTATCAAAAGAGCAGAAATACAATTAACTTCCAGGAAAATCCTTATTAAAATAATAGAAATACAGTTAACTTCCCGGAAAATACAGTGCAGCTGAGGGGACTGGATAAAGCTCTATCAACCCGCCCGAAGGCTGTTAAACACCCACCTGCCTCCAGGAAAGAACACGGACAAGAGCATATGCAAAGGATCAAGTCAAACAAAGAAATAATCATAAGAAATATAAATGGGTCCAATTCTCTTGTTAAAAGACAAATTTATCAAAGGATACACATATCTGAAATTTTGGCACATTTCCAAATGGTGCTTCTGAGGGGCGGTAACAAGTTATATTCCCATCAGCAGTAAATGACGGCCCAATACATTTTGACTACTTCTTCAAAGAGAATTCGATCAAGGTTTGATTTTTGACAATATTACAGATAAAATGTATTTTACTGGTAGTTCACTGGTATTTGGGGATTGTTTTAACTTGCGTTTCTCTTGCTGTGAGAATAACCAACTTGTAAAGATACATTTGAGGGATATATGTATGTTCTCTGCTCTGCACTGTATTTTCGCACCCTTTGTCTT